CTGGGCCAGACACTGGAGGACGTGCGATTCGGGGCTGGGGGTGGGGGGGCACTTGGAGTGAGGCGTGGAGAAACGTCCCCTCATCTTCGCCCAGGCCATCACGGGCTTGGGGTGGGGTGGGGGCTTGTGCAACAATGCCGCCCAGAGTCCCCAGGCGCCTCGCTTTGTGCATCTTGTGCGGTCCTTGCTGACGAACCGTTTGAAAGCAGAGCACCAGCTGCCCTGGCGTCTGCCCGCTGCCCCCACGCGTGTGAGTCCAGCCGCGCCCCGCAGGACTGCGTCCTGGCCAGCCCGTTGGCAAGACCTCTGCAGGCCTCTCCACGGAGATTCATCGGGGCGCGCTCGAAATCCCATCCCTTCCCCTGGCCGCCCAGTCAGCCAGTTTGCGTGGCCCAGAGGCTTAGCGCACAGCTACACATCTCCGGACACCCCGGAGTATCTCCCACACACCCACGGCGCACGGCCAAAGGATTGTGCTTGTTAGGTGCACATAAGTCATTTCAGACACACAGTTACCCGATGTTCAACAGGAGGAAACACTGCACACTGTCTTCACCGTGGTTCCTGTGCCCAAACCCAGTGCTGCAGCCACTGTGTCCATCCACCTCTTCCTCTTTCGCTGCCCCTCCGCTTGACAAAGCACGGTGTTCCTCCCCCGGGGACTGGTCTCTTGACAACTTGTCCAAAGAGGCCATCCTTGCCTCGAAGGAGCACTCTGTCTGTACTTCTTCCAACAAACAGATTCGTTTGTTCTTGTCCTTTTAAAAAAAATAAATCATTTTATTGGGCGCTCTTACAGCTCTTATAACAATCCATGCATCCGGTGTATCAAGTGCATTTGTACCTATACCACCATCGTCATTTTCAAAATATTTTCTTTCTACTTGAGCCCTTGGTATCGGCTTCTCCTTTTCCCCTCCCTCAGATGTGTTTGTCTGTTGGGCAGTCCATGGTAAAAATCAACATTCTGTATCAGCACTGTGATTCAAACCCATCGGTTTCCCTCCAGACTTCCTTCTTCAACGTCCAACTTCCACATGGGTGAGACGATGGAGGGCCCTACGCCTCGGGTGGATGGGAGGGTGGGGGTGTGCACCTCGGTCCTCCAAGTGACCTCCCGCTCCTCTCTTCAACACTTCTGAGAGGTCTCCGGGAGCAGCCCTGCCCTTCTCCAGGGACTAGTCCCAGGCCGAGCACACGTTCAAAGTGCGGGAGAGAAAGCCCCACCAGGCTCGTGTCTAAGGAGTGTCCTGGCCCGGCGTCTTTTGTGTCTGGGCCCTTCCAGTACCCTTCACCGGACCGTCACCCAAAGGCGTCAGTTCTTCCTGGGCGCCCTTATTCCTCATTCAACTGTCACACCCGTGGGAAGCGATCGGAATGTCGTGGTGAGGCCCAGACGCACCTCCACCCTTCTTCCAAGGGACCATTTTGCTTCCTGACACTGGTGCAGCCGATCGGCCCAATGCGATACATCGCTTTCTTTCGAATCTTATGACAATCCACCATTCAATGGTATTAAGCACACTTCTATGTAGGTTGCCAACAACATTTCCAAACCATTTTCTTTCTACTTGAACCCTTGGTATCAGCTCCTCCTTTTCCCCCTCCCTTCCCTCTCACCCTCGTGAATCCTTGATCAATGATATATTATTGTGGTTATTTTGTGTCTTACACTGTCTGTTGTCTCCCTTGACCCACTTTTCTGTTATTTGTCCCCCCAGGGAGTAGCCTATATAGTCAAGCTTGTG